CTAATCAATGCATTCACTTTAGGATGTGGCAGAGAACTTGGCTGTGGCCTCAAAGCACATGATCATTATCCTCCTATTGCAACCTCAGATTGCCAGCCATAGGCAGAGATTTCCTTACCAGAGTTACATCCAAATTGTCATGTCTCTACTCATCTGCTCATCCCCGCCTGGAAGCACTTTCCTGAGGTTGTCAAATCTGGGCAGTGTGCTCCAATATTTTACCATTTTTCTCTTTAAACTTCTGAAGTTGCAACTGGAGGGCAAGGGAGAGGTTGAGGTCAAGTTCTAAGACACAACATGCAGTACTATTCCCAGTTCTTCATTATTTCCTAACAAGGCCATTTCATTTCCAGGCTCAGAAAGGACAGAGTCTCACTGTACCCCACCCTACATCCATCAGGGCCAGCTCCATATTTTAGGGTCTGTCATTTGTATGACCACATACCTCACACCATTTTTTTTATTTGAATCTCTTTGTTTGGAAGTAGCAGAAATCCAACTTGAAGTAGATTAAACATAAAGAAAAACTGTATTGGATAATGATACTAGGAAAAATATAATTAGAATGAACTATTCAAAAAAAAAGAAGAAAAATGTGTTGAATAACAAAATCCATTAAAGAGATTAACAACTAATTTGTAAAAAGAATAAGACTGTCTAGCCCTGGCTGGTGTGGCTCAGTGGATTGAGTGTTGGCCTGTGAACCAAAGGGTTGACTGGTTTAATTCCCAGTCAGGGCACATGGCTTGTTGTGGGCCAGGTCCCCAGTAGGGGGCATGCGAGTGGCAACCACACATTGATGTTGCCCTCCTTCTCTTTCTCCCTCCCTTCCCCTTTCTCTAAAAATAAATAACTAAAATCTTTAAAAAGAAAAGAATATCTAAGGGATAACTTAAAGTGGGCTCTTAAATTCTAACATGAGTCTCTATATCTTCTGCCTCAACTTCTTACTCATTATTTCTTCATTACAGACAACCTCCCTTCTTTTAATGACAGGGAACATGGTTGCAAACTTTTCCTGAATTTTACATTTATGGTTTTCACCATTCCAAAGAGAATAACTCATTTCTCAATTCAAGTAAGAAAAAACTTATTAAGGATTTTATTGGCCTGTCTTTGGACACCACGCACACCTGGACCAGTTAGAGCTGAGGGTAGGCTTATGTAAGAACGATGGCTCCCTGAGTAGCCATGTGGATGGAGGAGACTATTCCCAACAGAAAAGTTGTGCTGGGCTGGCCACACCATAGATGTCCACTCTGGCAGCCCATAAGCAGGTCACTTCCCACATACAATAATTTGGACAAGCTCACCAATGTATGACATGGTTGGTAGAGTCAAACCTTCCCCGCTCTGTTTTTTTTATAAAGGAGTAAGCTCACCTTGCCTCCTAGATGCCATTCTCTTTCCCAGACAACTGAAACATCCTGGACAGACCCTCCCTACAAATGAGAGCCCATGTGCTCACTGGATTGGGAGACCCGTAAAGAAAGTATCCAGGATTAACGTATCTGCGCGCGACCAGTGCCCCATGAAGTTCTGTCACAGATCAGACATTCAAAAATAGTAGAACTGAATGAAGGTCTTTCTTCGTTCTTCAGGGATTCCTGAGAGCTGAACATTTTCTGGTCCTGGAGAGCCCTAAAAGTAGAAGTTGAAAACAAAAACCAGATTAGTTGAAGGCTGGGTAGCCTAAGGTATTAGAGGGAAGAAAAGAAAGGTCAACAGATGTTGTTCCAGTAACGGAGAGAACAAAAGACTATGGGTTCTGATGGACAGGTTGAGAGAATATACAGTTAACATGCTTGCCTCCAACCCACCTTAGACCAGAAAGTCGTATCTGGAAAGAATAGGGATCGGAGAATAGGGGTCAGGGGTGGAGGTAGTGGTATTCTGCTTATGAAGTTGGTAGATAAATGGGGTTGAGAAGAGTTCTAGGGTCCTTAAGCAGGACCAGACAATGTGTTAACTTTTCACTGATAGATAAGCTCCACCCCTTAATAGAAGTTAGACGTGAGCCCTGGCTGGTGTGGCTCGGTGGACTGAGTGCCAACCTGCAGACTGTGAACCAAGAGGTCACCAGTTAGATTCCCGGTCAGAGCACATGCCTGGGTTGCAGGCCAGTCCTGGTGGGGGACGCATAAGAGGCGACCATGAATTGTTGTTTCTCTCCCTCTCTTTCTCCTTCCCTCTCCCTCTCTCTAAAAAAAAAAATAAATAAAATCTTTAAAAAAAAAGTTAGACATGGATGTCTGATCGAGTTTGGCTTCCAATCATAGTTGTACAATGATGACACTGAAAATGTTTCTTCAGAGTGTGAGAAGATGCATTTCAGTGGTAGGGAGGAGCCACAGCTCCATGCTCCCCCCTCATCAGACAGAAAGACCAACAAGGGGTGCACTGGATTAATAAACCAGGGTGGTGACCACACCCCCGAGCCCAGGAGATCCTTGCTCAGAGTTCTGAAGGAAGGCTAAGACAGGGCTGCTTGTAGAAGTAAGGTGGTGGTCCCAGGCTACCCTTCTTTAAAAGAACACGAGCGGGAACACATGCCCAGCACATGAGTCCTTCCTCATCCATTCTCATGAGTGCTCCCACTGTCCGGGCTCACAGATTAAGTTAGTGTCAGAGCTGGCATCAGAGCAGAAGAAAAAGCAGAGTCCTTACCATACCCTTCCCCAGTTTTCTTTTTTCATTGTTGCTTTGTGTGGGTGGGGAAGGTGGGAGGGGTCCTCCCGCCTTGACACATGCCCACTGTTTTTACTTCCACTCTTCCTGCAGGATCCCTCTTTGGGCCTCAGTGTCTTCATCTGCAAAAATTAAGGGGTCAGGATGGGTAACTCTGCAGGGCCTAATAGCTTCAGAAATCTTCAGGGAAGAGGTGATGCTGCCAGGCAAAGAGAGGGGCCTGTGTTCCGATCACGTATTCAAGTATCATGTGCAACAGGCCGGGGAAGTTTGGCCACTGTGTGCTCTTGGTCTGCCTTCACAGGGCTCAGTCACTTGGTGACGGGGACAAGTAGCAGGGGGGTGGGGGTGGCGGTAGCTAATTTATTTATACGTTTACTATGTGCCAGGCACTATTCAGAGTGCAGGCTAGGATTTGATCCTGAGGACAATGGAGAGCCGCGGGAGGTGGAAGGAGAGCCGCATCTGATCTCCCAACTCAGAGAGCCCTCGGGTTCCCTGCAGAGGGTGTGTCAAGGGAGAGAGGTGAACCTCACGCATCCGTGGAAGAACTTTCTGAAGCTGTTTTACTGTCAGTTTTACACCTAAAAAGAGTAATTAGTGAAAACACCTCAAAGAAACCCGAGGCATGGAGGAGTCCTTCTGTGAGGCAAAGAATGGGTGGCCAAAGAAGTGGATGATCTGAGGGTGTACGTGCTCCCCACTGAGCTAGTAAACTGAGGGGGGTGGGGTGTATTCTGGAAGCCCTTTTCCCATTCCCAAGCACTTTGGTAGTAAGGGTGCCCCTCCCCTGGCTTCTTGCTGGGTGTCTACTCTCCCATCTGCACGGCCAGTCAAGATCTTAGCAGAGGAAACTGGGGACTGGGCGGAGAAGCTGTCCAATCCACCTCAGGTGAGCCGCTGGGGCTGAAGAGTTCTTGGTTTTGTCCTCCTGGAAAGGATTCTGTGTCCCATCGTCCCACAGCATAGATGCCAGTGCCTGAGTCCCCGGAGGGCCAGGTCCAGATTGAGTCTCCGTGGTTCTCCTGGAGAAGAAAAGATTCTCTGGAGAAGGGAGGTGAGAGGCTGAGGGACAGAAAAGGTGTCATTCCGTTCCTCCCTGTCCTGGTATTCACCACACACACTGCGGTAGGCGCTGGGAGCCAGAGGGTCCATCCGATGGCGGTGCCGAGGAGGACTGAGCTAGAACTGGGAAGCGGAGAGGCGGAGCGGGTTCTGAAGGTTCAGGACAAGGTCCTGCGCCTTTAGAACTAGTCAGAAGAATAGAGGGACCTCGGCTCGGGCGACCCACACCCTCGGGTGCCTGCACCACAATCCCGCAGTGCCCTGGGCACGCCAGCGCAGGGTCGCAGCTCGCCCAAGACTTTCTCTCTGCCCCTCAGCCTCGGCTCCTCCGCTGTGTCTGCCCCCTGGGCTTGCCTTTCTGAGACTGTCCCTCTGTTTGTGTCTGTGCCACTCTCACTGCCCTGTTTGTCTCGTCTCCAACACAATCCTGTTTCCATCCATGTCTCATCCTGTGCCGTCTCTGTCTCTCCGCCGCCTCCCTCCCTTTCTCTGTCCCTCTCCGTCTCTTATCCTGTCTCCTCTGTCTCTTCCTTGTCCCCATCTCCACCCCCAGTTTTCTCAAGTCCATGTTTCACCTTTTTCTCCATCTTTGCCCCTGTCTATCTCTTGCCCCTGTCTCCAGTTCCCCATTCTCGTCCATTTCTCATCCTTGTCTCCATCTGTGTGCCTGTCCCTGTCTTGTCCCTTTCTCTTCCTGTCTTCGTCTCTGTCGCCTCTTCCTTATCCACGGCCCCTTCCCAGGCTCTGTCTCTTCCTTGGTCCTGTCTCCATCCCCCCTCCTGGGCTGCCTCCTCCATCCCCGCCGGGATGTAACCTTGCTGGGGGCGGGGCCGAGGGGCTGGATCAGAATAACTCAGTTATCTGGACGAATTGAATTAACTTCTTCACACGAGCGCTGCTGGGGCCCCTCTCCCCTCCCTTCTGCGGGGCCGCAGGTGGGGAAGCCGGGGAAAGGGGTCGAGACCTTCCGGCCTGGCACGATGCATGGAGACCAAAGGTCTGGTCTGGATTGGGGCGAGATGGGGACTCTAGTAGTGGGGCCCCCCGCGCAGCCCCGCGTTGAACCTCCGGAGCCATCAGAGAGTGGCGGGGACCTTTTGGGGTGGGAGGTGGGCTCCGGGTGGCTGGGGGCGGGGCCTAGGCCTCCCGAGCCCCGCCCTGAGCAGCTTGCCCCGCCCCCTCCACGGGGTCCTGCGCGTTAAAAGGCGCGCGGGCCGAGCAGGGCTGCACTTGGCACTGCACCCAAGTGGAACGCGGCTGCGACGGGGCGGGCAGACTCGCGGGCGCTCAGAGCCGGACTCAGGTCCTGGGCGTCCGGCGTTCGAACCCCCATCTCGACCCGCATCTGGTCCGGGACCACGACCCCGACCCGGCCCAGCCCGGCCCCCTGTCCTCGCCCCCCGGGCCGATGGACTACTCCTACCTCAATTCGTACGACTCGTGCGTGGCGGCCATGGAGGCGTCCGCCTACGGCGACTTCGGCGCCTGCAGCCAGCCCGGCGGCTTCCAATACAGCCCCCTGCGGCCTGCCTTCCCCACGGCCGGGCCTCCCTGCCCCGCTCTCGGCTCCTCCAACTGCGCGCTTGGCGCTCTACGAGACCACCAGCCCGCGCCCTACTCGGCAGGTGAGCCCAGCCCCGGCCCAATTCTCCCTCCAAACCTTGCGGAACTCCCAGCCCCTTCCCTACTTGGAAAGTGGCGAGACAGTCCTCTACAGCCGCCACCATCCCTGGGGTCCTGGCCAAACCCTCCAATACCCGGCCGGGTCCCCAGACCCCCTGTAAGACAGGATTACCCCAGGCAGAGCTGAACTCCACCCACTTAGCCTTCCCAGCTACTACATCCCTATCCCATGCTCAGAGTCAAGGAAACAGACAGCTGGTTCGGCCCCAGGCCCCTTACCAGGCCCTCACGACCCCACCTGCAAAGACTGACCACCAAACCTCACAATCCAGGATCCTTGGAAGATGCTCCAGGCTCAATTTAATCAGACCACCCCCCATCCTTATCATCTCCACCCCAGTGCACACCTGATCCCCAGCAAAGACCCTTACAGCAGCTGAGCTGCTCAGATGAAAACCTTCCTAGAGTCCCAGAACCATCAGGTCCCTCCTGCCCAGTTTTGGATCCATCCCACCTGTGTCCAAACCCTCTTCCACTACTGAAACCCATCCCATGACTTGAAGAAAAGTGTGCCCGGGTTATTAAGCCACTTTCACTTTGCTGTTTTCCCTGGAGTCTGCCCCAGCTAGAGTCCTGCAGAACCCAGAAGCTTCCCCTAGAGCCTCCAGGCCCCTTGATCCAAGTCCCCGTCTGAACCCTCAGCCTCATGGAGCCTCTCCCCAAGCCCCATCTCTCTGGTTACAGTCCACTCTGCCCCACCCAATCTCCTTGTCTCCTTCCTTCCTGGGAAGCCCACTGGGACCCAAGTGGAAGACTGGGGCCTGGGGGTGGGGGTAGGCCAGGATGGTGAGATGAGGACCTGGATTTGGAGAAGTGGGATCCAGAGCGATGGAGCTAGAATATGGAACAGGGATGGGGAGATTGAGTTCCCCGGGCCCGATGCAGATGGGGAGTGGGGAGATGGAGAAAGAAGACGGGGAGATGGGCACCGGAGAAATTGAGTTCTAAGGTGGGGAGACGGGGCAGGTACAGAACCATGTGAGCCAAGATGGAGAGACTGGGGACCCCGGGAGAAAGGAAGACTCGGGGCTGGGAACATGGAGATCAGGACCAGGTGGTGCAGACAGGAAGCAGGGGAGATGGGGACCAAGGAAGATGGAAACAGATGGGGAAGACAGGGCTAGCACGTGGTACTGGAGACAAGGGCTAGAGGAGACAGAGAACTAGGGAGATGGGACAAAGATGACGGATATTGGGGACCCCTGGGAAATATGGAGACCCGACTGGGGGTTGGAGAGAAGGACGGGGAGACAGTGTCAGGAACAGTCTGTGGGGCGGTGGGGACTGAGACAGGGGTGGATGGGAGACAGGGATGGCAAGGGATGGAAGAGGAGGAAGGGTGGGGCTGGCTTGGGGGTGCTGGGGCACAGAAAGGGGTGCCTGGAAGGAAGAAGAAAGTCAAAGAGAAGATGGAGGAACCTGGGTGGGGAGAAACGAGGACGCTCCCCAGAGGGCACCAAGAGAATGGCCCAGAAGGGGCAAGGTGGAGAGAGATGTGGCTGTGAGATGGAGCTAAGGAAGTGAGGCCCAGGAAGGAGAGAGATGGCGGGATAGAGGGGGCCAGATCCCTACACCACGGAGAGCCTGTGGCAGGACTGAAAGTAGACCCGAGCAGGGGAGTTTCAGTCACCAGCCGAGATCCCGGACTGCTTCCTAGGGAGCTGTTGAAACCTGATAGCCAGCCAAGGGTGGGGGGGGGGGCAGGACCTGAAGCAAGGCGGTTGGGGTGAAGGCGGGGTACTCACTGAGGGAGAGACACGGCTGATGGGAGGGTTGGACGGGCTGGTGGACTGGCGGAAGGTGGAGGGACCAGGGCGAGGGCCAACGACAGGTCGGCGGCCTTGACGGGACTGTCAGATTCTGGTTACCTCTCTGCTGCTTTTGGATCTCACTGTGCCCTGTCCGCCGTCACCCCTGCCGGCTCCACAAGGGGTAGGGGAGACTCTCCATCGGAGGCTGAGAGGACGGAGGCCCAGGAGCCAGGCCAGGGGCGGGAGATGGTGCGTGATCCCCTGAGGGGCAGGACACAGCGGGCTGAGCGCGGACCCTCACGCTCCCATCCTGGTTGCTCCCCCTCCCGCGCACACCCGTAGTGCCCTACAAGTTCTTCCCGGAACCGTCGGGCCTGCACGAGAAGCGCAAGCAGCGGCGCATCCGCACCACGTTCACGAGCGCGCAGCTCAAGGAGCTGGAGCGTGTCTTCGCAGAAACTCACTACCCGGACATTTATACGCGGGAAGAGCTGGCGCTTAAGATCGACCTCACTGAGGCTCGCGTGCAGGTGCGTGTTTGCGCGTGTGTGTACGGGAGTGTGTGCTCGAAAAGGGCTGGGGGTTATTGTCCCACACCTGTGGGGCTGCGGGACAGAGAGGACTCACTTGGCGGAGGGCAGGTGTAGCCTGCAGGCGGAGAGCTAGGTCGGTCCAGGGGCCAGGTGCAGGCGGGAATAGTTGGGCAGGAGAGGACCGACAGCCTGGAGAAGCCGCGGGAGCAGGACCTGGCAGACCTGAGGCCCTCGGAAGGATTGAGCTGGTCAGACACATGATTTCCCTTCGGTGCCCCTGGTAGGGCCGGGAGTGCAGAGTGGTGCCTGGGAAGCCAGAACGGAGGCCAAGTGGGTAGAGGGGGTGCCTCAGGGTGCCTCAGGGGGCCTCAGGGCCCAGCAAGATGGAGTGGGGGATAGCCAGGTCCCATCCTCAGCCCTGCAGCTGTGAAAAGCGCCAGAACCTAGAAAGCCCGGGCGCAGGGCGGAGGCGAGCCGTGTCAGGGCGGACTCGGAGGTCTGTCTTACAAATCTGAGTGCAGATGACCAGCTGGCCCGCCTTTACTGGAGACGAAAGGTTTCTCCTAGTGTCCTAAGCCGCTCTCCGCCGCCCCGGGGCACTCCAGGCGGGTACTCCGGAGCTTCTTGTGGGAGGAAATCGGGTGACGGGACCTTGGGTGAAGAGAAGAGCGGAGGCGGAGTCCCCTTCAGCGGGGCCACGGGTGAGCGGATCCTCGGGGGAAGACCCTAAGGACCTGGAGGAAGGGGCGCGTGTTGGAGGAGAAGCGAGGCGGGCAGCAAGCTGAGAGGGGAGGACGGAGGGGCCACGTTCGGAAGCCTGGTGGTCACCCTGACCCGGCCCCTTCCGGACCGAAGTCTCACTAGCGCCTTGCGGCCCCGGGCTGACCGGCCCCTGTGCCCGCAGGTTTGGTTCCAGAACCGCCGGGCCAAGTTCCGAAAACAGGAGCGAGCGGCCAGCGCCAAGGGTGCGGCGGGCGCGGCGGGCGCCAAAAAGGGCGAGGCGCGCTGCTCGTCCGAGGACGACGACTCCAAGGAGTCCACGTGCAGCCCCACGCCCGACAGCACCGCGTCCTTGCCGCCGCCCTCCGCGCCGGGCCTGGCCAGCCCGCGCCTGAGCCCCAGCCCGCTGCCCGCCGCCCTGGGCTCCGGGCCCGGCCCGGGCCCCGGGCCCCAGCCGCTCAAGGGCCCCCTGTGGGCCGGCGTGGCAGGCGGCGGGGGCGGCGGGCCGGGGGCGGCGGAGCTGCTTAAGGCCTGGCAGCCAGCGGAGCCGGGGCCCGGGCCCTTCTCCGGCGTCCTGTCCTCCTTTCACCGGAAGCCGGGCCCCACCCTGAAGACCAATCTCTTCTAGCTGCTGGACTCCGGAGGCTCCGGGCTTGGCCCCAGAGATGCCCCTGCCCCTCCAGGACCAGACCGGGTCCCTCCCCACCCCGGCCGCCTGCCTGGAAGGCCCCGTCCCTCCCCACCTCCCGCCGTGTCTGACCCCTGCGTGTGCCCTCCCCAGGTTTGGAGACCAAGTCAGGGCCACTTGTGTCCTCGCCACCCCCCCCCCCCCCCGCCCCACACGGTGGGGTGCTTTCACTGGGAACCCGTCCCCCAGGACAAGCCCGGAAACCCTTCTAGCGCGTCTTTCTTTGGAACCGGGATCGCGCCACTGCCAGTCCCTAACAGAGCTCGAACGAGAGGGTCCTCGAGGAGGTGCAGCGGGCCCTCCCCTCACCAGGCTCGGCCACTTCTCACCTTGGTGACCAGCTGGTTGCCTGGGCCCCTCAGGCCCACCCAGGCAAGGGAAGCCAGGATAGCCAGCAGCCCGAAGGACCCCACCAATTTACCCCTCTGCTTCCTCCCACCTGGCAGTCAGGCTGGCACAGAGGGAAGGCCCCTTAGAGGAGTGGAAGGGCTGCCAGGGCAATAGGACAGAGGGGTTTCCTCCTGATTTTTCTGTTGTTGTTGCTCTTTTCCTTTGAGAAACTTGTAATTTATTGAGGTGAGTTTTGCTCAATCCAAATAAAACTTAATTTATTGAAGACATCATGCTGGTAACCCCTCTGAGTGCCCAGGGTGGGGATGGGCTGGCTGCCTGCAAGAGGACCCAAGGCTGCTACACACAGACCAGGAGACAGCGAGAACTAAGCAAACTGGCACTTTATGGCAGAGATTGACCCCCCACCTCCAACAGACCCCAATAATATTAAAGTGATCACCCTCCCTAAATCCACAGAGAAAGGCTTTAAATAAACCCCAGCCCAGTTCTTGGGCTATTCCTTCATTTCCGGATGGACACCCCAGAGTGAGGGTTGGGGAGAGGTCCTAGCTGAGCCCCTCTGGCTATAGTTCAGGCCAGAAAAACAGTGAAAAGTGGGGACCCAGGTGTACCCAAATGGACGCCCCGGGCACCCCTGAGGCTGAGAGGAGAGGTCCAGACAGGGAGGAGAGCACCAGAATAACCAGGGCAACTGATCTCTGGTGCCCAGGGTGTAAAAGGCAAGGGGCAGGAGGTCCTAATTAGGGCATTCCAAAATGATTGGGCAGTGGGGAACTCAGATCCCCAATAAATAGGCAGAGAGGTACTGCCCCACCCCTCATAACTTTTCAACTCTGGGGCCATGGCAGTGTCTTCGTTGGGGGAGGGAGGAGTGCTGAATTCACAGCTTCACGGTGCTACCACTGTCACTTGCTGAGCTGCAGGGTGTCCAGAAGGAGGCGCTTGTGAGCCGGGTCCTGCACCCCAGCCTCCTCCAGGTCCTCCTCTGTGATGTCGCTGTAGGAAGGGGTAAGAAACTGGGAGATGGGCAAGGTGGTCCAGACGGCCCATAGCTCCCCACCACACCCCAGGGGCCAGCCCCACCCTCACCTGAGAAACTCCAGGTCATCCCAGCCATTGTGCACCAGGCCCTCCTCATAGCGCTCCAAGCCAATGGCCCGCAGCCAGGCGCCCATGCCCGCCTCACCCAGCCCGGGCGGCCGCCCGCTCTGCGGGCACGGAGCCTGAGGGAAGAGGGCATGTCAGGGGGAGCACTAAGGGTGCCCACATACACAGCACTGAAGGGCAGCCACATTCTACATGTCATGGGATGGGGGGAAGGCAGGCAAGACCTGGGGCTCCACGTGTCGCCCAACTCCCCGGTGCCCAGCTCAGGGCAGAGGACACCACTGAGTGTTGCACGGTGGGGTACAAGGGGGCCACAGTCCACCGGCAAGCACGCAGCTCACGTACACACGGCCGGCCACCCCTGGCGCACAAACCTCCTCTGCCAGGTCCTCCTGGATGCTCTCTCGGATGCGGGGTGGAGGGAAGCTGAGGGGCCGGCCATAGTCTGAGGGCAGCCCCCTGGGTGGCTGCAGCTCCAGGGGGCCCGGCAGGAGCGCCGGGCGGCCAGGCCCCACAGGAGCGTAGTCCACTTCACTCAGCGTCTTGGCCATCTGCAGCACCGAGCAGGAGCGATCGTCCCCACTGGTCACCTCCCCCAAGAAAGTGTTGGTGGGCGAGGGGCCCGGGGGCAGTGGGGGTCTTGGATGGGCTTTGGGAGGTGGTGGGCCACGGGCCTCACCCCCACCGCGGCCCCGGACCACTGGCCCTGGCAGAGGGTCAAGGCCTGGTGGCAGGAAGACGGCGGAGTCCGGCAGTGGCGGGGGCGGAAAGTCTGGAGGGGGCAGTGTGCCCCCCGACTCCTCGTCGGACGAGCTCCCCTCTCCCACACGGGGCGGCCGGTGGCGCCCAAGCTGTAGAGCAGGTACTGTGATGGCCACCTTGTTCTTGGTGGCGGATGGGACAGGGGCCCTGGCAGGCGGAGGTGGCTCTGGGGGCAGCAACTGATGTGGGACGCCTTCCAGGACGTAGTAGGCAGGGTTATTGAAGCTGTTCTTGGGTGGAGGAGCTGCCACCCCTTCAGGCTCTGGAGCCCCCTCTGGCTTCAACCTGGGTTGGGGAGCAGGACAACTAGGTCAGGACACAGAAACGCCAAGTGAAGGCAGTGGGCACTGGAGAAGGAAAACCCGGCCGGGAGTCAGTGAGACATGGTGCCGTCCCAGCCTTGCACGTGACCTGAAACACAGCACTTTCCCTCTCTGGCCCTTGCTGCCCTTATTTCTAAAACCAGCCAACAGAAAGAGTTGAAAGAATAACACCTAAACTTCCATGTCTCACTCACTGAGATTCTCACATCTTTTGACTTTGTAACTTTGAAACCTCAGCTTAAAGCGGTGAAAGCAGGTGCCAGAAGGCAGGGCAACACAGGCCTGTAATGAGAATGACTAGCCGGTTTGGAAAAACCACTGGAGGCATCTGAGGCCGATGGAAGGAGGCATCTGACTCAGGAACGCAGGGTAGTTTTACACAAGCCTGGCAATGAAACCAAGGCAACCACTAACAGCCAAAGATGAGTGAAAAAGCACCAAACTGGACCTACGAGTTTTTAGTTAACTTCCGGTGACAAGTGGGTGTAATTAGAAAGCCAGCCCCACTTTCCCTAAGTACGATGCACAGAACACCAGCTCCCCAGGGCATCAACAGTCACTGTGTGGAAAAGAAGTTTCCTGGCCTGTTAAGTTTGGAAAACTATGTCAACAGAGTTGAAAAAGGGTTTCTTTCCGGTCCACATTCTCAGAGATTTTGCTAATACTAACATGTACTGGGAATATCTAAGAAAACAATCTAGCAAGGACCATTTCGCAGACTCCTTTGACCACAAACCCATTTCCAGGGTGCATGCTTCGTGGGACGGTGCTCCGCTGAAAGCACAGGGGAAGTCCCGAGCTGAGGGGTGTGCCTTCTCCACTCAGAAGGCTCAAACTAATTCTGTTTACATGGAGAGAGCAGTTGCAGAAACAATTTCTAATTCTACCTTTTAGGGCAGAATTGAGAGGAAAGGCTGACTCTGCTCGCTGTGACTCAGAGAGCCACACCTAGGGGAGGCCGGCCTGGCTAGAGTGGCCACGGGCACAGGGCCCTGGCACTTCCAGCCATGGGGTGGCAGGGCACCCGAGCAGCAGACAATCCCCAGACGGGCCCTGAGAGCCAAGCATAGTGATGGCTAAAGTGGGGTGGGGAGGTGATGGGTTCTTCTCTCACCTGGGGGTCAGGGGCTCCTCCCGGGCAGCAGCTCGAGGTGGGGCTGGTGGCCTCCCAGTTGGTGGTGGTTTCTCTGGTTCTTCAAATAACTTGGACAGCGGGCAGGAGGCCTCTGTGAGGGCTGGCTTTCGGCTCCCTGACCTGCTAGGGGTGTGCAAGGCAGGAGAGGTAAAATAGGGGCTCCCCAAAGGCCCCCAGGCACCCCTTCACATGACACTCAATACAGCGCCAGCTCACCTGGGCTCCTGGCTGCCTCGGGACACAGAGGGAGCTTTGCTTTTTGCTCCTGCCTCGTCCTTATCGATGCTGATCCACTCTGGGGGAGAAAGGGAAAGGCGACTCAGAGGGGACCTGGGGTCCTGGGTCCCAGGTACCTACCGACCTCCAGCCCTTTCCCAGCTACTCCTCAGGGCAGGCCCACTCCCAGTCGTGGCTGCAGAACTCCCAAATACTATATTCCGGGGATTCCAACACGCCCTTCCCGCACCCCAGTCCCTCCCTCCTGGGCCTGCCCACACCACCTCGTCTCGGGTCCCACACCCCTCCCGACGGAGCCCCCACCGTAAAGTCGCTCACGGGTGCCCAGGCGCTCGGTGGGCACCCGCACCTTCATGGAGCCACGGATGTTGCCTGTCTCCTCGCCACGGTGGGACAGGAAGGTCAGGAACTGTTGGGCTGTGCTGCCAATCATGGACTTGAGCGCCACCACGCATTCCCCTGGAGGGCAAACCAACACACTGCCAAACCTTTCTAGGCCCCGCCTCGCTTCCTGTGCTCCTTGGCATCCCCCTGCTCCTCACCATAGGATTCGTAGCCATCCATGGACTTGACTGTGAGCAGGAGGTGCTGGTCCTGCAAGTACTCGATGTCGGCCAGAATTGGCTTGAGCTGGGGAGCGGAGAGGCACAGTGAGGAACAAAGCCCCTACCACCCGCTCCTGCCTGACACCACTCACCCCTACCCCCAGGCTGGTGCATGATTGCTCCCACTCAACTCAGCTGCCTCGGGAAAGGTCCTAAATCCTTAATGTAGAAGACACAACCTTGCAGGGGCCTTTCAAAGAACTTAACAGCATTGTAACTAATTCATTCATTAAACAAATGAACTGTAAACTGGTCCCACACCCCACAAATAAAGCAAACACCCTCTCCTCACTCCTGCCCACCCCTACCCCGAGGCACGCACACATGTACTCTCGGCTGGTCCCCTCCCTGCCCTCACCCACAAGCCCAGGCCCTGCCTGCAGCCTCACCGTGGGCAGCTGGCGTGAAGACCACTGCACTTTGAGGAAGTTGATGTTGTCACTGCTCTGGGCATCATTCTCGAAGCTCTTCTTGTACTCTGGGGTGGAGGTGGGAAACACCTGACTGAGTGCCACCTCCCACGTACCCTTCCCCCTAACCGGGGGGCCAAATGCTCTGCGTACCTCTGGCCCCCCACCCGACTTGGCCCACTCCAGCCCCGGGCCCCTTCCGACCTTCCAGGCAAGTGGAGTAGAACTCAATGAAGAACTTGGTGCGGCTGGCCGTTTTCACAATGGCCTCGATGCTCTCAAACTCAATGTAGGCCTGGTCTGAAGTCTTTGAGAGCCCTGAGGGTCGGAGGGAGGAAGGCAGGCAGGAGGGTTGGGAGGCTGATAGGAGGAGCAGGACAGGGAGAATGGGCCCCGGGACAGGAAGTCGGGGGCCCTGGCAGAGCAGGAGGGAAGGCCAGGCGCGGCCTCCCCAGGCCCAAGGAGCCAGTAGGGAAACACCAAAGCCCAGGCCCTGGATAGGGGCAGG